GAGGGGAGAGTGGCGTGTGGAATTAAGTGGAGTCATCTCCTTAAATCACACTCTGTTCTGTAAATTCTGACCTTAACAGTGTAAGTTTTGAGAGCTGCCTTTGAACCTGACAACCACACAGTGATTCCAAGAACTAGAGCAGTGCTTTAGCACTCCCTATAACAGCAGATAATGTAATGTGCAGAATAAAGTAAATACACAAGACAGAGGATTTGTTTACGCAGTTCGGAAAACTTTCCTACTCTGCGGGGCCCACATCCGTGTAACAACCCATCCACTAAATCACCGTAATGATTACACCTTCAATACCAACAGACTCGATCTATTGTATTGACTTAATCAACTTACAAATGACTTTGATAGCAAACTCTGTTTGTATCATACTTCATGGTTGTTTACACCTACTTCATGCACCTGGATGTGTTACGACCCTGCTCCAGCACTTCAAAGATCACCTGCTGGATTGCAGACCTTTCTGCTTCGTGAGAAGTATTATCTCCACTGACCAGCACAGATTGTTAAAGGCTAACAACCCGTGAATTTGACTCTCTGTGACTTTATGTAACTCTCTATCTCTCGTTCTTATTCTCACGCAAAAAGCCCCCCACCTTAGATGCAGAGCAATAACGTATATATATATACATGGCAGCGTGAAACCCTAGTTGAGTCCTTTTCAAAAACTGCCAACATGTGAGATGACTTCTAGCTCAACTATACTTCGTGAATCCTAAACATGGCAGGACGCTACAATCCCAAGCCAACTAGACAACTTATTCCTACTATTTGTTTTTGTCATAAGGATAAGGCCAACTAAATATAAACAAATACAAACCCCATGCTACCCAGCCTTTTGGTACGGTGTGTACGCTAATATAGGAACCAACAATCTCCCCCTTTGGCCATCCTTTTGGACAAAAACAAATAACCTAGTCTCTCTGGCCGTTGAACCTCTTCTCCCCCTTTTTTGTTCAAAATATGTCAAAGTGTATTGAAGAATAACTGGGCAATAGAGAAGAGTAATATCCAACATTTGAGCAAGAGAGGTACATGATATATAACATATCCTAAAGTTGAACTTGAGAGTGTACCTACACCATGTAGGAGAAGGATTTGCAATGCCCTATAGAACGTAAAATGATAATGGGATAAATAACCAAAGCAGGCAGATATGAAGACTTGGCAAACCGGGTTCAAACACCAAAGAGAAGTTTGATAGCAGTCACAGCAGAAACAGTAAAGCATAAAGATTGAAATCAGAAAACAGGGCAGAACAACCCCACCAAAATAATGTCAAGTTCTGAGATGCAACTAAATAACGAAGATAAAAACACTTATGCTGATAGTTCATCCTCGTGCTCTTTTTCCTGAGAGCTCTCCCCCTGAGCAGATTCCCCCTTTATGGCAGCACTGGCAGTCACAACTTCTCTAAGCCAGGTGAGATGCTTGTATTCCTCCTCAAGTGCTGATTGTTTGGCCAGTGTCATCCTCATCTCTTCCCTATTTGCTTCAAGCTTGGCATCAAGATATTGTATCCCAGCTGACACCCTTTGCGGAGCAGAGCTTTGAGTGGACTGCATGTCATTGAAATGGTTTCCTTCAAAATGCCTGTAGTCAATCTGCAGTAGTGGCTCCGGTGGTTCCTCCTTGTCAGCAGCAACTTTGACGAATCCCTGAGAAAGAAGCATCTGAAAGATTAGAACAGGAAAAGGCAGTCCATTATCATTTTGCTTGTAGTTTCGTTTTCCAAATTCAGTAATCTGAGACACAATCAACTTTCCCAGGTTGATTGGGACACCATTTTTGATCTTGTAGAGGAGCATTCCCATGGCCTTGGTGACAGTGTTAGTATGAGTGGTTGCAAGCCAGTGACATGCTACAACACACAACAGAATTGAGTAAGAGCTGTTGAGAATGGACGAAGGGACTTTGTTTGTGGATTGTTGGCTATTTCTAGCTTCTCCTATTTGCACATCCAGTTCATCAGTCATACCCAGGAAAGTATTAACTGCAGCAGGAGAGAAATCATAGTACTTCCCTCGCACAAACACTTGTTCAAAATTCTCATCAGTAGGTTGAGCAAAGTTCTCATTTAAGTTGCAGTAAAATTCATGAATCACTTGTTTAACATAGGACCCAGGCAGTGTTACAGACTTCAACAGCTTTCTATCTTTCAACAGAGACATGAGATTAGTTTTCAAGGTAAAATCATCAACATCAATATTCTGTTGGGGAATGATGTGCTTTTTCTCAATCAGACTCATGAATGACTTAGCAGTAGAAGAGAGAAAAATAACGTCAGGAGACTTTCCTGGAGAATTGTTCTATTGTTTCTGCATTCTGGTCTGTGGTGTCTTGACGTTGGAAGTCTATTTCTTGACACTGTTCTTGACCCTTTTGGAGAGGGATGATGATGCTTCTAGGGTGCGAATCTCAGATTCTAGCTTTCGTTTGGACCAGCGGACTGGATTTGAGACAGATGGCTTGGACTTTGACTTCGAATTCTGTGGGGTGTTCATTGTGCTTGCTTGTGTGTGGAAGGGCACTTCTGAGACAGCCATTAGAGGTTCCTCGTCCAATAGATTCAGAAACTCTTCATCTTCAACATTATCAGGCTTACCTGCTTCACCTGATTTAGTTTTTCCTGACTCCTCTTGTCGATTTAAATTGTTCTTCTCACTTGTATTCTCCATTACTTGTGGAGTTGGAGATTCCTTGTTGGCTTGCTCTTGGGTAGGGTATTCCAGATAGAGCACAGCTGGTAGATTAGGGTTGAGAGGTGCTTCATCGACTTGTTCTGCAAGCAGTATTTCAGCAACGGTGGAAGAGTGTTGAGATCTTTTTCCAATATTGGGAGGTGTGGACATGCAACTACTCTCTGCTATGGAAATCGAGCGTTGTAGCTTCGCTCTTGCTAGCGCAAACTTCTTGAGTACTACTGCGTTTCTCCTGGTGCTTTGAGGTTTCCTCCATTGTTGTGGAAGAGCGATCTTGGTGCGTACCATGTTTGCAGGTTCAATTCGCTGAGGCCAGATTTTTGGTAGATTGCGCTTGAGAGAAGGACCAATGAATTTGTGAATAAGATGGAAGATGTATAGACCCTTTGAGATTGAAGATGTGATTTTTGAAGGTATTTGGTCTCCTCGATTCCAGTGGTACGGCGTCAGGTTTAGGAAGGAGTGCTGCTTGCGTGAATTGATTGGAGTATTGCTCCACGTGTCATATACTCCTCATGACTTTATGATTGGACTTCTTCCTTCCCCTTTGTCTTTTATAAACAGATTTTTAGTAAGGTGCACACAGACCCAATTTGGACCTGAGTGTTTCAAATCTGTTTCCATCAAGTGCCTTAGTAAAGATATCTGCAAGTTGATCCTCAGTAGATACATGTTCCAGACTCACAATTTTACGTTCCACCAGTTCCCGTATGAAGTGATGTTTGATGTCGATATGTTTTGTGCGTGAGTGTAGCACTGGATTTTTGGATATACTGATGGCACTTGTATTGTCACAGTACACTGTGATAGTGTCATGTTTGACCCCGTAGTCAGCAAGAATCGATTTCATCCATAGTAGTTGAGCACAACAGCTGCCTGCAGCTATATATTCAGCCTCTGCTGTAGAAAGTGACACAGAATTTTGTTTCTTGCTTAGCCATGCCACAAGATTTCCACCAAGAAAGAAACATCCTCCTGAAGTACTTTTTCTGTCATCTATGTTTCCAGCCCAGTCTGCATCACTAAATGCCATGAGTTCTGCCATACCTCCTTTTGAGTACCAGAGTCCCAAACTTTGTGTGCCTTTCACATATTTTAGTATCCTCTTGACTGCTTTGAGATGTGATTCTTTTGGATTAGCTTGATATCTCGCACAAACTCCTACACTGTAGCACAAATCTGGTCTGCTCGCTGTTAGATAGAGTAGACTCCCTATGATTCCTCTGTATCTTGTTGCATCAATATCCTTTCCAGTGTCGTCTCTGCTGATTTTTTCATGTGTTGGACATGGTGTTCTAGCACTTTTACTGGCACTTATGTCAAATTTTTTCAGCATGTTTTGTGCATACTTTGTCTGTGATATGAAGATTCCTTCGGTTGTTTGTCTGATCTGAAGACCTAAAAAGAAAGTGAGCTCTCCTATCATGCTCATTTCAAACTCCTTCTCCATCACTCTGACGAACTCATCAGCTCGTGCCTTTGATGTAGACCCGAACACAATGTCATCCACGTATATTTGTGCAACCAGTAGGTCTGAGTTGTACCAAATGTAGAACATTGTGTTGTCTGCTCCCCCTCGCTTGTATCCTTCCTCAATAATATAGGTTGTTAGTCTTTCATACTATGCCCTTGAAGCTTGCTTTAGCCCATACAATGCTTTGTGGAGTTTGTATACATGGTTTGGATATTTTGAGTCTTCAAACCCTTTGGGCTGTGCTACATAGACTTCTTCTTTTAGATACCCGTTTAGGAAGGCGGTCTTCACATCCATTTGATATAGCTTCATGTCTAGAACACAGGCCATGCTTATAAGCATTCGTATGGACTCAAGACGTGCTACAGGTGCAAATGTTTCTTCGAAGTCTATTCCCTCCATCTGTGTGTATCATTGAGCAACTAACCGAGCTTTGTTTCTGATAACATTCCCTTCTTCATCGGTCTTGTTCCTGTAGATCCACTTTGTGCCAATGACATTTACTGTGTCTGGTTTTGGTACAAGCTCCCATACTTTGTCTCTCTCGAACTGCTCCAGCTCTTCGTGCATGGAATTTATCCAGGCTACATCTGTCAAGGCTTCTTTAATGTTTCTGGGCTCCATGGATGACGTATAGTAGGCCTTTGTCATCTGCAGAAAATCAATCTTCTTCTTTCTTGTTCTTATCCCTTCTGTGGGCGTGCCAATAATGTTTTCAGACGGATGACTCTTCTAAATGTGTGTAGGGACGCTGCTGGTGATGGGTACGTCTGTTTGAGTGTCTTGCTCATTTTCACCTTCTGTGTCTTCAGCTTTTTCTTCAGTCTCTTCGATGTGTTTCAATGGCTCTATTTGATCATCCACTGATTTTTGAAAGACCTGGTCATCTACTACAACGTTTATTGATTCCATGATGATTTTTGTGCGCTTGTTTTATACTCGAAAGGCCTTACTGTTAGGTGAGTATCCAACAAAAATGGCTTCGTCACTCTTGGATTCAAATTTTCCCCTTTGTTCTCGGTCCCTTAGGACATAGCACTTTGCTCCAAAGATGTGAAAGTGTGCCACACTCGGGGTTCTTCCTTTCCATAATTCATATGGCGTGGCATGTGTTCCACTCCTGAGATACACTCGGTTAATTGTATAGCATGCTGTATGAACTACCTCAGCCCACAAATTCTGTGGTAGGTTGTATGTATTGAGCATTGTGCGAGCCATTTCTTGCACATGTCGATTCTTCCTTTCAGCTACTCCATTTTGTTGCGGGGTTTTTGGTGCTGAAAATTCATGGCTTATCCCGTGGAGATTGCAGAATTCTTCAAATGGCCCATTGTCAAATTCACCTCCATGATCACTTCGTACTCTTATCACCTTCCTTATTTTTTGTTGTTTTTCGTTCTGTACCTTGTTGCAGAGTGCAGCAAAGGCATCCAGCGCATCATCTTTGTGCTTTAGGAAGCTGATCCAAGTGTATCTAGTGTAGTCATCTACAACCATGAGAACGAATCTCTTTCCGCCTATGCTCTCGGTTTGCATGGGCCCAAAAAAATCAATGTGCATTAGTTCCAAAGGTCGCTTGGTTGTTCCCTTTTTTTAAGGTCCGCAAACCTGATCATCAGCCTGTGTAATTTTTGGCAGCCCCCGAACTGCTCCTGAACTTGAAAATGTTTTCAAATCTGTGTAGTTCATATGTCCCAGTTTGTAGTGCCATAACCTTGCATCTCTTTCTCTTGCTGCATAACATAGAATAGTTGGTGTTACCTTGTAGCAATTGTCAGCAGTTCTGTCTCCTTCTAACACCACCAATTTATTTTTATCTTTGATGCGGCATTTCTATTGATTAAACACCACTTCCAGACCTTGATCACAAATTTGACTAATGCTCAGAAGATTCACTTGCAGACCTTGAACCAGCCACACATTCTTGATTGGTGGTAGTCCAGCCACATGCAACGTTCCATTTCGAATGATTTGACCATGTGCCCCTCCACCAAATCTGACATTCCCTCCTTCGATGGGCTGTACATTTGTTAGGTTCTGCTTGTCTCCCGTCATATGATGAGAGCACCCACTGTCTAGGAGCCACTGATCAGGTGTGACTCGATAGCAGAAGTTTGCACACGAGGCTCTGTGTTTGGGTACCCATTTCATTATGGTTTTGACATGCCTTATTGCAACAGCCTTTCTTCTCTTTAAGTTTCTTAGTTTGTAGCTTTGGCGTTTAATGTGCCCCTTTTTCCTGCAGTAGAAGCAAAAATAATTGAAATAAGGATTTAAGGAATAAGTCTTCCTTACATGGCTGTTGTAAGGTTGAACTACTTTCTCCTTGGCCTTGCTTGGATTGCTCTCAAAACCCTCCTTTGTGTCTGGTTCCTTGATAGTGATCCTTGCTCCTTTAGTAAACAGGTCCAGTGGTGTCTTGACGCCTTCTGAAGCTGTGTGCCCTATTCCAGATCTGTCCCCGTATAATCTTGATGTGCTCACCATTTCCTCGATTTTCTCAGCCCCAGCACTTTTCATCCACTTGTGATAGTTTTTAAGTTGGGTGAGTTCGTACTGTAGGTCAGATTTTTCCCCTTCAGTTCGGTTTAGCTGCTTTTTGACATTGTCCAGTTTTTTTTGAAGGTCATCTACATGTGCGGCCAGTTGGTTTTTCTCCAGGATGTTCCTCCTGTGAACAAGAAGAAGCTCTGTCCATTTTTCTTGTAGCACTATGAGTTGTTCAGTTGTATCTTCAACATCTTCTTCTTCATATTGGGTGACAAAGGCACAATTGCTGTTTCCCGTAACATCTTCAGTTTCTTCATCATCATCACTCCAGGTTGTCATGAAAGCTTGCCTCTTCTTTTTGAGATTATTTGCACACTCAGATTGAATGTGACCAAAACCTCCGCATTCAAAACACTGAGGCCCTTTTTCTTGAAATCATCATTAAAAGGCCTTGTCTCCTTTTGTCGTGGATTTCTGAATTGGATTCCTTTGAAGGAATCTCCTTGAGAGTTGTTTTTTCCTTTCTTTTGTATCCACTGCTTTTTGAATTGTTTAGTAAAGAGTGATAGCTGCTCTTCAAAGTCTTCATCTTGTGCTACATCATCCTCATTTTCATCTTCATTAATCAGGCTGTGAAAGGCAATTGGTTTGTCACTTTTCTTTCGCTTGAGCTCTTCATTCATTTGCAGTTCTATTGTCTCCAGATTCCCCATTAGTTGATCTAGAGTCATATTCTTGATATCATGCGCCTGGCGAATTGCTTTTGCATCCATTGCATAGGCTTCTGGTAAGGCTCTTAATACCTTCAGAACTAGGCTATCCTCCGTAAAAGGTCGCTTCAGATTCTCAGCTTCATTTGCAAGTTCCCTTACTCTTCCATGAAAATTAGCTATTCTTTCTTTATCATCCATGCGCAGACTTTCGTATTTTGTTATGAGAATCTGGATCTTCGCTGTCTTGACACGCTCATCCCCTTCGTGCGTAGTTTCAAGAATCTCCCAGGCTTTCTTGGCCTCGGTGCAGTTTGATATGAGTCGATACTGTGAACTGTCAACAGCTCCAAATAATGCATTTATTGCTCTATCATTGCACTCAGCAGCTTGAGCTTCTTCCTTTGAATATTTTTCAAAAGTTTTGATTATCTTTACTCCTTCTGCATTCGTTTCCGTTGGTTCTGTCCATCCAGTTTCTATGATTCTCCACACTCTACCACCCTGCGATTTTAGAAACGCTCTCATACGTCCCTTCCAAAAGTTGTAGTTTGGTCCTCTCAACAAAGGTGGTCGCTGAACATTTGCACCTTCCTCCATGTCTCCCATGATCGTCTCCTTCAGCTAATAACTTAAGCTGAATAGGCTCTGATACCAAATGTAAGTTTTGAGAGCTGCCTTTGAACCTGACAACCACACAGTGAATAGGCTCTGATACCAAATCGTCCCACCTCTTTCTCCTCATTTATCCGCAACCAACGTGCGAACAGATTCACGTGTGAACCTTCTTCTCTTCCTTCTTCTTCGCCTCCTCGCCAGAACTCCCTCCCTTGGCTACTGCTTGGCCAAAACACAAAGAGGAGAGGGAGAGTTTAGAGTGGGTTAATGGGTTGGGGGTTACACAATTGGTGGAGGAATGAAGGGAGAGGGGGTATTTATATTAAAGGGGAAGTAATGGAGGATTAAAGGTGCTGAGTGGAGAATTAAAAAAGATGAATGAATATGGAGAGAGGGGAGAGTGGCGTGTGGAATTAAGTGGAGTCATCTCCTTAAATCACACTCTGTTCTGTAAATTCTGACCTTAACAGTGTAAGTTTTGAGAGCTGCCTTTGAACCTGACAACCACACAGTGATTCCAAGAACTAGAGCAGTGCTTTAGCACTCCCTATAACAGCAGATAATGTAATGTGCAGAATAAAGTAAATACACAAGACAGAGGATTTGTTTACGCAGTTCGGAAAACTTTCCTACTCTGCGGGGCCCACATCCGTGTAACAACCCATCCACTAAATCATCGTAATGATTACACCTTCAATACCAACAGACTCGATCTATTGTATTGACTTAATCAACTTACAAATGACTTTGATAGCAAACTCTGTTTGTATCATACTTCATGGTTGTTTACACCTACTTCATGCACCTGGATGTGTTACGACCCTGCTCCAGCACTTCAAAGATCACCTGCTGGATTGCAGACCTTTCTGCTTCGTGAGAAGTATTATCTCCACTGACCAGCACAGATTGTTAAAGGCTAACAACCCGTGAATTTGACTCTCTGTGACTTTATGTAACTCTCTATCTCTCGTTCTTATTCTCACGCAAAAAGCCCCCCACCTTAGATGCAGAGCAATAACGTATATATATATACATGGCAGCGTGAAACCCTAGTTGAGTCCTTTTCAAAAACTGCCAACATGTGAGATGACTTCTAGCTCAACTATACTTCGTGAATCCTAAACATGGCAGGACGCTACAATCCCAAGCCAACTAGACAACTTATTCCTACTATTTGTTTTTGTCATAAGGATAAGGCCAACTAAATATAAACAAATACAAACCCCATGCTACCCCATTCAACTGTTTTTTACTTCGTAATATACATTGTTAAAATAATTTTTTTGTAGAAAATTAAAAGAACAACCCCGGTAAATAAATTGATTTTCCCCATTAACAAAAGAAAATCTTAGTTTAAAAGTAAAAAATAATCACTTAAAAAGATATACAGGCAAAATATTTGAAATATCATATTTATATTATGTTATGATATATTTATATTTTATTATTCTAATTTAAAAATACTTTTTTCTTTGTTGAATACTTGTTTGAAATTAAATTTATTTATTTTTTATCATTTTCAAATGCTTTAAAAAAATTGGAAGCGCTACCCCTAAACCCCTACCATACTTTTTAATGTGTGTTTGCCCCCATCATATTTTTTTCTAGATCCGCCGCTAAATTGATAGTTAATGTGACACTATGCGGGATGCCGACGGATTGTGGCACTGCGAGAGGCAATGATGGCGTCAAGGCCGCAAGGGCGCAGGTGGCAGTGAGAGAGAGGGTTTCAAACTGGTGTGCCAGTGATTAGACTGCTCCGGCCAGTGACAACGTTCCTCCTCTGTTGCGGCTACTTGGCGACGACAAATGTCGATATAGGCAACAATAGTGTTGCCAATCCAAGAAATGTAAGACCACCGGTAGCACGACTTCTACCTTTTTAAAGAATCATGTACTCCCTCCGTCCGGAAATATACTTCCCATTTGACTTTTCTTGGTCAAAATTTGAAAACTTTGACTATGATATGTGAAAAAAATAAATTGTATTAGGATATAACTTTAATATGAATATATTCAATTTGAAATATAGTTTTCAAATATCAAATTTTTATAAAATATATCCATATATAAATAAAGATACTAGCAGTCAAAGTGTATTCTTGTAGACCGTAAAAAGTCAAATGAGAAGAATATTTCCGGACAGAGGGAGTATATTTTTATATCACTCCTAATTAGGGGCTATTCAGATTTAGGTCCAGATCGAAACGGACCGTTAGGTCCAGACGAACCCAGACCGAATAGATTTCAGGTCGGTCATCGGTCTAGCAAATTTAGGTCTTCAGGTTTCGGTCCAGTCTAGTCTAAACCTAAAATGATTTAGGTCCGGATCGGTTGGACCAAATAAATCTAATAACCCTACTGGACCTAAAAGAGCTAAATACTAAAAGTCTACTTTTTAAGTTCTATTACAATTTGATGCTCTATTTTAATAAATATCTTAATTTACTTAATTAAAAAGGTTTTTGATTAAGTAATTATAAAAAAAATTAAAAATGTTTCATATTAGTTTTTATGATTCTACATAGAAGAAGTTCATATTGTGTATCTATTTTTAGGTTGCCTATTTTTTTATATTATTTATTTGAACTATACAAAGTAAAAAGCCTAAAATATATTTAATTGTCTGGTCCAAACCCAAATAGAGTTAGGTCCGGTCTTTTGTCTGTGATTTTATTCAATTCGGTCTCTGGTCCGATCCGGGTTGGTCCAGTCTTGGACCGATGAACAGCCCTACTCCTAATTAGGAATTTATTTTTCTACTGCTATTTTGATATATTATCAATGTTTACTCTTATTTTGGTCCTTGATCCTTTTTTTGTTTTATTAATTAAGTTAATTGCTCTTATTTAGAGGAGTTTATTAGGGTGTTTCTTTGTGCTCGTACTTAATAGCTTATTGCTAATAAGCAGATTTTAACTTATAAGTTGCGTATATGTCAAATATTCTTTAATCGAAGTAAAATGACTTAAATGATAGATAAGTCATTTGAAAATATTTATAAATGGCGAGGGATAGTTTTGGAAATAATCTATTCAAAATAGAGAAATGAAAAAACTGACTTAAAAATAAGTAGCTAACACCTACTTATGTTTTCTAGATTATAAGGAGCTTATAAGTACATGAAAACATGTCATCAGCTACCTTATAAGTTAAAAACTGCTTATAAGCAATTTTGACCAACTTATAAGCATAGAGAAATGCCCACTAAGTTTGAACTCCTATTTTGATGATATGACATATGTTATACTCCTTTTTTGGTCTTTCTCCCTATCATAAATCCTTCAAATGGAGAGTTTCGATATCTCTCAGATTTGGGAGATATTAATAGTAAAATTTGCACTAAATAGGACTAAAACATAATAACTTTCCTAATCTAGGACTTAAACTTTTTTATTCCCTAAATAAGACTTATTAATGTCTTGGAGGGAGGAATAATGTCCAGTAATGATGGACATTACTTGAATAATGACTAATTCATAATGACCAAAAGTCCTATATTGAAAAATAAAAACATATGGTACTATATTGGGAAAGTCATTATGTTTTAGTCTTATTTAAGTAAATTACTCATATTAATATGAGGATTTGATATATATCTCTCAACCGTTGACCACTTTCGGCCACTGGCTTCTATTTTCAACGCCCACTACCTTCGCTACTGCTCGTTTCAGATTTCAAAATAAAAATCGCCCTAAGTAGTACTCTAAGACACACATATAGCACTCCTTATTGTTTTAAAGACATTTCGCTATTTATAACGTGGACCTCTTCTAATCATACCCTTTTATTATAATGCAGTATTTTAATTATTTCATTTACTATATTTATTGAGATCCATAATTTTATTAGGATGTTATTCTCATTCCTTGTACGTAGCACTTAGAACCGTCGTGCTATTCCTCACTGCTTAAACACATTTTATAAACAAAATTGGAAGTATATACCAACTTTTTTGGCAGTCTGGAATGGTCATGTTATGCCTACACTTTCTGACAGCGTGTTATGGCCATGTTTTGGGCAGTGTGTTATGGTTCACAATACTTAACTACACTTTTTGGTAGTGTGTTATACCCATGTTCTGGAAATATATATACCAACCTAAACATATTTCTTGGTAGTGCGGAATGATCATGCTTTGAGAGTGTGGATAGATGTTATATTGGGTATGACAACAATGTGTTATGCTTATGTTCTGGAAGTGTATACAACCTTAAACACATATTTTGGCAGTGTGAAATGTAAGGACAAATTTGGAGCTGCACCCACATAAGTTCCAATATCCTATAGCGGTGCAATATTTGATATTTTAAGCATATTTTAGTGCTCTGACGGTACTTCTCTCATTTCAAAACTCATACAATTTCTCCCGGGTTTCAAAATTCAAATCTTATCATAACTACAAAACTTACTAAATAAGCCTTTAGTTTTATTGATGAGTAAAAATTGATAAATTTAGTTTGAAGAAAGTTAATATCAGCCAATAATGACAAAGGTACTAATTTCTTTGTCACATACGATATCTTTTTTTCACTTTGAATTTTCTTTATTAACATTTTTCAATTTTGATCATGATATACGAAAAATATATACTTCTCTCGTTCAACAATAATGTTTTTGTTCACTATTCACAGGGTCAAATTTTATTCACTTTTTAAGCGTATTTTCGTTCCTTATTTGATAAAATAATACAGTCATCTTAGTTCTAATTTTGGAGATCTTTTTATGTAGTGTTTAAATATATAATTTTTATTTTTTAGTTTCATACGATTTTTCAAATAAAATGATTTGAAAATAATTTCAGTAGTTCAGTCAAACATCGTAATACAGAATGAGAATATTATTGTTAGACAGAGGAAATATTAAGTAACGATATAAATTGAATACTCAAAGATTCCTTCATAAAATAGAGTTTTCAAATATCTTGTTTTTGAAATATGTTTATATGTTAATACCGTAAATACACAAAGATATTGATGACTATTACCTCTGTTTCATAG